TCCCAGCCCTCTCCTGAGCCCCCTGCCCGCAGGGGGCGAACATCTGTTCACAGGTGTGCTGCCATCCACTCTTTCGTTGCCTGTGGCGGCTGCGGGCCTGATGCAGCAAGCAGGGACCTGAGAGCCCAGAGGACACAGCCTCAGGTTCAGTAGCCACCCCAGAGGTCCCCACCTGGCTCTCCAGAAAGAAAGTCCAAGAGGCTGTAGATGGGGCTACAGAGCACCACACTGATTGGCCAGGCGAGTTTCTGGCAGCCACAGCGGAGGCCTCTGATTCTCCCTTCCCGGCTGGCGTTCATGGTCATGGCCGCTGGAGGCTGGACCAGAGTAATTTATGAGGCGGGAGGAGAATTCGCCCTTAAAGGGGCTACCAGTCATTGAGGCCCCACTCAGCCCCAGTTTCCCAGGCCGGTGACAATGAAGGAGGGGGGCGCTGCAGCCCCCCACCCAACTCCCTTCTTTTCCCCGCCCACCCCCCCAACATTGCCCTTTGTCTTCAGACTGGCTGCCTCTGCCTCCTGGCCCACAAACCTCCACAGCCTAGCACATGGACCAGAGCAGAGGGAGGGGCACAGCCCTAGAACCCACGGGAGGTCTGAGAATGGCTTCTCTGAGTGGGAAGGCCTTTCATCTAGACTCCTTCAGACCCCAGCCCCAGTCCAGTAGATGCTGGGCTGGCTTCAGAGAAAGGAGCAGTGAGAGAACCATCAACCTTTCTGCACTTCATTTTTATCCTTCTCTCCAAGTGTCCCCCAGCCTCCCATCTGCTGTCCCGCCCTTTCCAGGAGAAAGAGGGGTGAGAAGCAGGGCACTGATGGGAATTAACTGCAGCCTGGACAGTGTGAAACTGGCCTGCTGACTTGGAGGGTTTCCCATATGGGGAGAGTCTCCTCTAACAAACTCTCCAAGGGCAATCCACCGAGCTTTTTACTCTCCCACCAGCACAGAGCTTCTGTACAGGCAGAGGCAAAGGCAAACATATACACACAGCTGAGCCCAGCACAGCACTGGGCCCACCCCACCCTCCCTAGTGCACTTGCAAGCAGGCAGCCTCATAGTCCCCACATGGCCCAGCAGAGTGGAGATACAATCACATGCCTTCATCCCCCGCTAGATATCTGACACCTGACAATTTTTCAACCACACATACTTGTTTCACCCATGTACAAGTTCCCCCAAATTATCACCACTCCAGCTGTCTGCAGTCTCCTGTGGGCTTCCCCTGGGCATGAAGCATTCCCCACCTTTCCTGGTCACCACCCACTGTACCCCCTTTATGCAGCCCTTCCTGTGACTTCTGGGCTCTAGGGTGCTGGATTTGAGCTCTACCACTCCAAACTAACCTGATTCCCAACCTAATAGAGAAGAGAGACCAGAACACTCCAAAAGGAGTGAGGGGACAAAGATATGCAATATTCTCTTTCCATGTGCTTTAAACTTGACTTCTGTGAGCTTCTCTGTCAATCTGTGTCTTGTTCTCTGTGTCTGTCGCTGGTACCTAGTGTAGTCCCCGTGGATAGTTGCCCTTCCCCTAGCTGCCTCCCCAGCTCTCTGTAGTGTACTCTTCTATTCAAACATCTGTCTTTAGCACGTTTTCCCTTTATATAGTCCTTGTACAGAGTTGCTTCATCATATTAATATTGATAATAATAATAATTAAAACATGAATTATGATTATGTGATTTTTTGAAAACAAAAGTTCTACCCCAAAATAATGGGAGTCCCAGCCTTCTAGCTGTTCTCCACTCTATTTTCTCCAGCTCAGGTGAATAATAAAAATAATAAATGTATAATAATAATACAGGAAGAGTGGTTGCAGGGTCAACAAAAAATGTATAAGCAACCAAGATCTGTTGATGAGCTACCATCTCCAGTCCCAAGCAGTTATAGCAGAGAGAAAATTGGGCGGTAGTAGACTTGGGGGAGGAGAGGGAGCTTTGAGGAGTCATGGGGCCATAAAAATAATGTGGACAGCCTAAAGGAGGTTGAAACCAGCTTCAGAAAAGGAGGTCTGTGCTGCAGGAACTTGACAAATAGAAGCTGGGATAGGGGCACTGGTGATCTGAGCTGGATATTGCGGCAGTGAGAGTAACCCGTAATCCAGGGGCTGAGATGGAGTGGGGTTGGTGGGCCTAGAGCTTCAACCCTATGATCTTAATCCTGTGGCTTCACTCTGAGATGACACTGTGTATTGCAAGATGTTGAGAGGGGGCTAAAGACCCCTTGGAACTGGCAAAATAGGCTCCACCTTTTGAAGCCAGCGACTCTCTCCAGGCCATGCCAGAGGCCCAGGCCAGTAGTAGAGTCCAGATGTGCCCACGAACCCTCTGCACCTCCACCTACCCCTGCCTTCGGTAAGAAATGCCCTCTCTCTTTCTCACCCTTTTGCCTCTTCCCTCCCCTCACCCCTTTTCTAACGGTATGGCTCCTATCAAAGGAGTCTCCTCCAAATGCCTCGTTCACCCTCCTGAGCCTGTACCGGAATCCTAGGAGCCCCCACCAAGTCCAGCCTCTGAGACACCTCCTGCCCTGAAATCTCTCTTTCTCTCTTTCCTTCCCTTTCTTTATTCCTATAATTAGAGAAACCAGCGAATGTAGATCAAATACCATTCTCTTTTTTACCCCTAATCCCCAGTTGTTTTGCAAAGCTGAGGGGTATGGACAGGAAGGAGACCCAAAGCCTTAGGGTGCTCATAAAAATGCCCCACAGAGTGCAGCATCCACCGAAGACAGGTAGCTTGGGCAGCCATGAGCTGGGGGAGGGGCCTGGTGGTTGAGCCCGGGTCTGGATAGAGGAGGGTAGGAGGAGTCTGAATCCCAGGAAATCCAGGCAAAAGAATATCTGACTCTTATGATGTGTCTACACAGGAAGGATCAACAATAAGGACATCTCTGGCAAAAGAAAAAGAGGGATTTAGGAAGGCAGCAAATAACAGGCCTTTAATTTATTCCCAGAGACACTCCAATTTGAGAGAGAAGGCACCTAGTTGGGTGGTATCTCTGCAGGTCCAGAGACTCAACGCAAACACTGGGGATGTTGCCAGAGAAGGATGTTGCCTCCTCCTTATGACTGAAAAACAAATCTTTGGGTCTCCCGGCCAAAGAGGAGGTCATGGTTGGAACCGCGATCCCAACACTTAGGGCGCAGCTGAGCTCTCCATATGGGTGAGCATTTCCTCTATGTTACAACTGTTTGTCCAGTTTAAGCCTCTAAACTACAATTTACTCCACTAACTTTAAGACAAAGCACTCCGTGTCTCTCGCCGGGTTTTGAGGAGCAAGAAAAGGGAAGAAATATCCAGATAATTTAGGTAGACAATAATTGTGCTGTTGCGCGCGTATAAGCTTATATTGCCCGAGTGAGTTCTGTATTTGGACCTGGTTATTGTCGCAGTCATTCTGCTCCACTCTGACGTGCACAGACGAAACTGAGTATTTAAGGCCACTAAGCCGCTATCAAGCCGGCAGGAGATGGGTCTGGCAGTCTGGGTTCTGTGGATGCTAATGTAGCCGGAAATCCGGCGCGATCAATGGCTGAGACCCAGAGCTGAGCAGGGACCGCTGGCTCCGGTCCGCGAACAAGGCAAACCCCGGGGACTTTTGGTTCCGGCCAGGCCAGAGCCCCTGCCCACCCTCCCTGCTATATCCAGGAAAGCAGTAGCGGTTTTTCGGCCCCAGACCACGCGAGAAACGCACTCTGGAGCCGCCAGTCCTCCCTGCACTGCACCTGGAGGCGCGGAAGGTTCCGGTGTAATTCAGCTGGAGGTGGAAGGCAGGCCCCGATTCCACAGCGCGCCTATGCCCAGCCTTTGGTCCGAACCGCCGCCCTTGTGCGTGTGCCTCGGTCGAGAAGGCGCTGCCGGTTTTCCGCGGAGAGGCCGTGGCCCGCGCCAGCTGCTGCTGGACTCCCCAGCTTCGCCCTCTGCTCCGCGCTGCAGCCTTGCGCGGTGCGCGCCGTTGCCACTCTAGCCGAGGCCCCGAAACAAAGACGCGCTGGCCACTGGTGGACGACGCGGGCGCCTGGGCCACTCCCTGACTCGCGCCTGGAGTGCTCAGCATCCTGGCCCTGTGGAGAAGGCTGTGAGACCTTGATCCAATTCCCCGACCGTTGTGGTCCCGGCTGCGGTCCTCTCCAGGGTCCAGGGAGAGGAAACCCGGCGCGCCCACAGCCCCGGCGGACCCGAGCAGCTCCCGCGCCCGACAGCGCCGGCAGCTCTGGTCTCCTCTGGAGGGCTGCTGTGCCCCCGCGAAGGACGAGATGACCCCTGCTGGCCAGAGCTGTGGAGACTGCCTCGCCGAGACCCGGACCTGTCCAGTCGCTCGTCCCTGAGCACCCTAGGCCAGGGGGGACGCCCTGTGAGTGTGAGAGACCTACAAGAGCGGCCGGAGTCTGAGGCGCTGGCCGGGCTGCGGGAACTAGACCTTTATCCTAAGCTCCTTCCTTCTGCCGGGACTCGGTGTCCCCACAGCGGCTGCCCGCCCTCCTGCCCGGCTTCTCATCGCTAGAGGCTCTGCCCTGGAGGTTCCTAAGACCCGGGCCGCCCTCTGGAGACTGGCATAGGAGCCAAGAAACTGGCCTCGACAAGACCAAACATAGCTGGACCTTTAGCCAATCTAAACCAGCCCGTTGCCAGCAGGTGATTTCTTCTCTTCCAGCCAGAGCCGCTTAGGAGGCAAGTCTTCACTTCGTCAGTTTACCTGGCCCAGAGTGGAGAACTTCCTTCAAAGACAGGTCTGTGAGGATTGAACCCACCAACAGCCCTTGTTTGGGAAGCTCTCTGCAAAAGGTGCATCGTCCACATGCAGAGCATGGAAAAGATGTTCCATAAACACACACCTGGTCATAGTGCTGCCAATAAATTGAAACACAGTCTAAAATGCACAGATATCTCTATTACGGGTACATTGTTGGCATAGAAAAATAAAATATACACACAGAGGCACTTTTATCTACTGTATGTGAAAGTAACCTACTGGGGAAAGATTACATACAGCAAGTATATTCACCACATGTAAAACTTTATTTACACATATAACCACCACACACACACATCCTACACAAGGAATGTGCAGTCCTGAGTCTATTTAGCTACATGTGAGTATATACTCCATAAGGCATATAAAACCAGTGCATAGAAAATGCATCCAGCTATTAATATATCTACATTTTAAAACTGCATGGAAAATACATTATTATATATACACAAAGTGCATACCTACCCAATGTATGGAAAATATATTCTGTGAGTTGTGTTTATATACATACTGTGTGTGGACTAAATACATTGAAATTGCATTCTTCTGGGTTCATGAACTGTTCATAAGGCACAATTCTCTAGCAATCTTAATAGCAGGAGGAAGTTCAGGCTTTGGGAATGGTAATCTCCATCTGCTGAGTCTTTTTTCTGTTCTTCTGTGCTTCTATTATATCTGTCTTTTAAATACCCCTTCTATGTCTACATGCATTACTTATTTAAGTGTTCCCTTATGTCTATTTATCTGTTGCAACTTTTGTCCCAAGCTGGGGTCTATATTTAGAGTGCAAAGTCCCGTTTGCAACAGGGTCCCACTGCATAATCACTCCTGTATGGAATAAGCATTATATAATTAGGTTACCCACGTGTCTCAAGATGCATTATTCTAGACCTAATATAAGCATATTATAGAGTTGCTCTGTGCTGCCAGTTAGAAAAGCGGTGCCACAGTGGCTTGGAGAGGCGTGTAACAGGCAGGTGGATTCCTGGGTGGGTGCTGAGACTTCAAGAGCTTCCGAAGGCTAGGGCTGGTTTCACTTTTAAAAATTTGTTTTTGAATCTTTAGGAGGCAGCATGAAGCAAAGGCTGGACCTCTGCTTCTATGTTCCTCTCAAATCCCAGAGCAGCTCAAGTCCCCTGCATCCAGCCGGGACAGAAAGGCTTCCGGCCTACACAACCCCTTCGCTTCCTTGTAATTATTAAACTGGGCTGGGTCTACACAAGTAGCATGGAAAGGCTTTCCTATAACCCAAGGATTTTTCCAACAAAACACTCCCAACCCCTTTGGGGAAGCATTTTCTGGCACTGAACGAACTCTGTTTGGGCCTCCTAAAATTAGTCCCATTTGGGTTTTTTCTTAGCAACTAAAAATCCAGAACCCTCTGACACATGCCTATGGAAAAATTCTTTGAGAGACAGTGCACTCACGCCCAACAGAGATATTGTTTATGAGTCCATGGATTCCGTGTAGACACCGCCATATTTTACAGTCCAAAGGAATCAATTAATTAGCGCCTCCCAGTCCCCGCGCCGGCCGCTGCTCGGCTGAGCAGGCGCGGTTGAGATAGATGTGCGTGGCGAGCTCGCTGGTCTTGTTAACAAGCCTCGTCATAAAGATGGAGATGATAAGAAGAGCAAGGAAGCCCGGGTGGCCGCGAGGGGGGAGTTGGTGGGCCCATCCCGGCACCGTGTGGGGTAGCGGCTGACCGGAGCCGGGTGCTGCCCGGGCACCCGCTCAGGTTTTTCCAGCGTTCTCTCCTTCTGGGCGTTCATGTGGCGAGCTAGGACCCGGATAATTCTCTCTGTACTCCTGTTCCCCAGATTTTCCCTTTTCCTCATGGAACGCCAAATCAGATTTAAAAAAAATAAAAATACATAAACCTCTGTCTGTGAGTGCCTGTCTTGCCCTCTGCCACGTTTGTTCCGGTAACTGCCGCCTTGCTCCCTTGCCTGTATTTCTCTGCGTGGTTCACTTTCACCTTGGTCTGGTGCTCTCTTCCCTCCTCTGGCTCTCTCTCTAGCTTCGTGGTTGCTTTTTCTACCAGGTCGGTGCTGGCTCAGGCCCCAATGAACTAGTAAAAAAAAAAAAAAAAAAAAAAAAAACCACACACACAAATACCCCCTGGTTATCTCTTGCCAGAGTGAACACCCCCAGATAAGCGAGACCCAATGAAAATAAAACAAAAACAAAAACAAAAACAAAAACACCTTGGGTGTAATTGCTGGTTTGGGTTGCAGCACTTAATTCTGTTTATTCTCACCAATGTGCATACTTAACGGAGAGATATTGATATTAAAGGGCAGGGGGGAATTAATTTTACTTTTATAGTCATCCATTAAGAGCAGAAGATGATCTGAGTCTCCTTTAAAGGGACTCAAAAAGGGGGGAAGGGAAAGAGAAAGAAAGGGAGGGGGAAGGGAGAAATATGACTGAAGGCGAACAAAGATCTTTGCCTGAAGAAACAATGTAACACTAGACAGAACTATAAAGTCTGGGAATGTAAAAACGCAGGACTCTCTCAGCTTCCCCCATTTGAATTCTGTCCCCTGCACTTCCTGCTGAAATTCTGACCCTGACTACGCAGTGGTATTCCAGGAAGAATTCATGCAATTATTCGGATAATTGTAGGGGGTGAGAGAGAAAGCATTTCTCTTTTATTGTCTGACCCTCTCTGATGTCTGTGCAGAGGAGGAGGGGCCAGGGGTGTAGAGGAAAAGGAGATGGTAGGGTCTCCCGATATCACCCTAAGCCCCACAAAATGGCTACTCCTAAATCAAGGAGACCCTAGGCAGGAGCTTATAGATTTTGGAACATACTCAAGAACGCACAAGAGATCGAGTTTGAATGCCCCTGATCTGGTTTCATTTTCCAGGATATTTGCTTGGCTTTACTTTGTCAGCATAGACATGCCTCCTGTAGTATTGTAATCATTACAAGTAAGGGGATAATAGATAATTATAGGGGTGTCAATAATATTATTTTATAGCCACACAAGATATGATTAGAGTTAATGTCGGAGGCTCTGCTGGACCCTGGGAGGCAGCAAGAGACAAGATGGAGAGGTCCTTATAGTCTTTATCTTATTTTTACATATGCGTTAATCTCTATAAATCCCTAGTTCTCTACATCTCCTCCTCAGATGTCTTAAGGGAAAACTCTAAGATTTTAGGGGCTGAAAGCCAGAGAAGGGTGAATCACAATTGGGTACTTGAAGTCTGCTCCCTTCCCCATAGTTTCAGGAGCTGTGGGATCTGCTTTCCCCATGCCCCCACAGCCTGAGGCTTTGCTCTCAGTCCCAGGCCACTAGGATCACAGAGACTTTGCAGGTGGGGCCAATGTGAGGAAGACAGAGTCTTATCCAAACCAATTTCATTATCATCCCCAAGTGGGCACTGGTCCCAAAGTGAAGCCTCTTTTGATCCTAAATTGGCCTTCCCCTTACCCCCGGGAACACCTGGGTGGGGCAAAAGTCAGGCTGGGGCTGTGAAGGTCAGTTCAGAGTAGGGATGCAGGAAGGACTGAAAATATTTTTGTTGTTGTTGTTTCCGGGATTTGAGACCAGAAGGGACCAGAAGGCTGGGAGAGAGAGAAAGAGATCAAGGAAGTGCCTGAGAACAAGGCAAGAGAGAACTCAGGGAAGCTATGAAACCAGCCGGCAAGGGTAAAAGAAATGAGTGAAAGAAAGGGGGCAGGAAGAACAGGAGGAGAAAAAGAAGAAAGGAAGGAAACAAAAAGGAAAAGACAGAAAAAAGACGAAGAAAAAGACAGAAGGAGGGAAATGAAAATAAGAAAGACGAGAGAAAAAGATTGAAAGATAAAAAGAGGCGGGAGGGAGGCAGAAGCAAGGGTCGGCGATTGCTTTCCCTCGCCCGGCCGCCTGCAGCAGTCTGGGTGGGCGGGGGCGCCATGACAAAGTGAAGGTCAAGTTAGCATCGTACCTTATAAGGAAGGCGCCGGTCCTCCATTTCAGCCTTTTCTCTGCCAGGACGCGGCCGTGGCATTTCTGGTCTTGTAAACATCGGACTCTTTGGGGCCTTAAAAAAAATAAAGACGCCCCTCCTTCCTTTACTGGGGGTGAGCCGGCCGGGGAAAGCGGCGGACAGGGAAATCAACTAATGAAGACTTTGGGAAACTTTTCTCTCTTTTTCTCTCTCTGGCTCCGCTCCTCGCCAGCTGGGAACCCTTCCCTCCCTCCTTCCTCCTCCTCCCCTCCCCCGCCTCTCTTTTTCTCTGTATCTCCCGGTCTTCTGTATCTCTCGCCGCTGTCTGTAACTCTGGGCTGCCTCTCTCCACTCCCCACTCCCCTACTGCAGGCTTCTAAATCCGTTCCATTCCACTGCGAAGCGGAGCAGGACCTAAGAATTGGAGAGAAAATTAAACGTCATAAAGAAAAGTTCATTTACATCTTAAATGTCTGAATGTTACGGTTTCCTTCAGAAAACAAGGCGGTACACTCGGTAAGGAGGAGAAGTGAGGCAGCAGGGGTGGGGAGGGCTGGTGCCGTAGGAGACTTTGTTTTATTTATTCCTCAGATCCAGAGGCGGAAAGAAAGGGAGAGAAGCAGGAAAATGCGACAGAAGCGTTTTACCCGGGCAGCTAGCAAAGAAAGAGGCTGTAGTCGGTGGGACTGGAAGCAAAGCGCGTAAGGACCCGGTGCGGGGGCAGCGATCCCCGAGCGCTGAGCGGGCTGCGCGGAGGCCTGGGGTGAGGAGAAACAAATATATTGGATATTTGTTGGTCTAGGGGAGGGGTGACGCAAGAATGGAGGGAGACAGGGAGACCGGGAGCGTAAGGCGGCGCCGCAGCCGGCCGGCGAGACCGAAAGAGCCCCGGATCCGCCGCGGCAGCCTTTGGCGGTGGGCAGTGGGCTTAGCTCGAAGGCTCAGGGAGGAAGGATCCCGAACTGAGATTCTTGATCCTTTTCCTCCAGGGTAGCGCTGGGGATGAACAGAGAGAAAGAAGGAAAGAAAATTAATTGGTGTGGGGATATCTGCGGAGGACTTACCTTTTTCCTGGACCTCACAGCTCGTTTTCGCCTCCTCTGGGCTCATTTTAAGGTCTAATCATTGCTTTTTAAATTGAAATTCTAATGGCAAGGGAAGGGAAAGATGCACAGAAAACAATGATGGGGAATTCTGGGTCAATCTGATGCTCCAAAAGCCTCTAATTGTTGTCACCTCCACCCTCCTTAACTGGAAAAATGGCCTCTGGGATCTGCCCCCACCCCTCACTTTACCTTTCTGATTGAGAGCACCTCCCGGATATTAGGAACCTGAGGATCTAAGTCCCGGGTGGGAGACGCCAAGAGCAGGGGTATTGGTTGGTGGAGCTCCAAGGCCTCAGTGCCTGGTGCTCTCTTACCCTGTGTTCTCACCATAAAAAACAAAGGGGGAGGATTTGATTATTTCTGGTGATGTTAAATGATCCTGGCTTTCAAAGCAACTCTGACCCCAAGATCTAAGGTGATAAGTGTCTCTGCCATAGACATTTAATCTGGGCAAAGTGTCACTTATGTTACAAAATGCCTGGGCTCAAGGGGCTGGAGGGGTAGCCAGGAAGACCCAGGGAGGGAGCAGGCTCTCTTTGGCAGTATCTAGAGTTCCGTGGATAGTATTTTAAACAGTTGAAATGGACTGGGGAAGCCCTTTCTTATGTCCCCTCGGTCTGGGAAGGGGAGCCCCAGTTAGTGAGGTGGTTTATGAGCTGGACGCTTCCCCCTAGTGTGGGAAAGACAGAGATAGCCAGACTTCACCCTGCAAAAATGTGCTTCATGTCTGTGACATAAAATTGGCAGGCACTTTGGAGATTTAGGGACTTGCAGAGAGTGGGGCCGTGTCAGACAACCTGGTGAAGGCAGAGGCTGAGGTGTGATTCAGGGTGGGTGGGGGAATCTGAGGGAGTAAGCCTGGGAAGGTATCACCCAAAACCATTTCCTCAGAGAAGCCAAATACACACAATGCAGTCTAATATTGAAAAACACCAGATGATCTGCTTGGAAGGGACATAAACAGGCCAAGCAGATGCAAGTTAATAAAACCCGAAAAAGCCCAGGCAGGAACACTTAAAATGCCCCAGAAACAAAGCATACCATGACAAATTCTCACCCAACACACAAGTACACGCACCGGAATGTTCCCAGACACAGAGAAAAAGAGACGTCCCTACCTTGGGCCTCCACTCGTGAACACTCAGGCGTACCTGCCCAGCTTCAAGAGCATACACAAATATGTGCACTCTCATAAACTGACCCAAAGAAACCCCTGGGGCCTGGGGGCAGGCACCGGCTGCACAAACACCCCACAGAGCCAGCCCCATGTCTCCTGAGCCTCGCTAATGCACGATCCATACCCGGAGATAAAAGTCTAGACAATAGACGGCTGTTTATGACAACGAGGCTCTCCAAGTTTGGGGCCAGGCGATAAATCTCTGGCGAATCTTCCTGTAACTCAACTTCTGACTGTAGTGAGGAGAAAGCCACTGAGCCCGCAGAGAGGAAAGCAACAAAATGGGGGAGACTTGTAAATCCTGAGCAGAAGGCACCTTCCCTGCTGGGGCAAGGAGGCATAGGCCACCACACTCACCCCACACAGCAGTCCTCACTGTGGAAGCTTTCGGATCAAGCTTCAGAGCACAGGCGAGTCAGAGTTCCCCACTGCCTGCCTAGGCTTCCAGGTTCCGGAAATCAGGGCCGAATGTGCAGGCAGAAGGCAGGGCCTGGAGGCTGGAACAGATCCCAAACAAACGATTCTTGCTGGGGGCAAAAGATCTTTTTTTGTTTTTGTTTTTGGTGACTGGAATCTTTTTGCTTTGTGTCACCTGAATTTTTTCACCCCATGCCTTCCCACCTCTCTCTTTTTTTCCTTTTCCTTTTTGGATTGATTAGCTGTTTGTTTCCTTTTGCATTTTCGACCCAGGCATCTGATCGCTAATAAAGAGTCACTGAAGTTGATCTCATAAAAATGCCGCGAGCTCACTTTGATCAGGAGGACTAGGTCCGAGCCTTAAAGTAGGAGCTAAAGCCAGAGAATCAGGGCCCCAGTCAACCCGCCTCAGCTCTGCGGTGAGGCAGGAGATCTGGGTGGCCCAACAGGGCAATCCCGCCCAGAAAAAGGTATTTTCTGTGCCACTACAACTGGCTTAGGAAACTAAAGCCCAATAGCAGCGGCTCCATTTCCAGACTGCTTTTAAGACATTTCCTTCATTTTGGAACATTTGGTGAGGGGGCCAGTGAAACCGGCTCGTAAAATAGGGCTTTTTATGGGAAGAAATAGGGTCGGGTTGCTACCCTCCTGGGACAATCTCTCCACAGAGGAAGCTGGGTGGGGCCTGTGGGGGCAAAGGAGTTGTCCTTCTCCCTCCCCACTACCTCCTCCATAGGTCCCAGGAACCTCTGAGCAGCATCCACCAGCTTAGGTGGCCTGACTTGGGGACTCAGGCTTGGGGCAATGGCCAAGTCTGAGAAGAGGTAGAAGCCAGGAACTAGCAGTCCCAGGATCTTGCTCCCTGGCTGGGGCTGGGGTGTCCCGGGTGCAAGATAAACTACTGACCTGAAAATCCCAAAGCATACTAAAGGGATTATTGCAGGCAGTGATATTACTGTAAGGGAGAGAAATATAGGCAAGAAGGTGAAAGCCAATTTCTAATGAAGGCTCCTTGCTGGCCCAGCCTGTGAACAAATGAGGTTGTCCATGCGTGGGACTCTCTCCGCTTATCTTTTTATTGACTCCACACAGGCTGAATTTACAATCCAAGCCCATTGGAGCACATGTGGCCCCATTTCTCCTTTCAGCATTTTCCTCCCCAGTTCATGGTCTGTGGGATGGGCTCCTTTCCCTACCACGATCTGCTCTCTAGAACCCAGAGCAGTGGGAGGAGGTAGACAAGCTAACAGGAGGCCCTAACTCTGTGTGCGGGAGTTTGCTCTGGGAGCTGCCCAGGGCAGAATTTAGGAGACACTGTCCCCTTCTGAAGCTGCCCCTGTTGTCCGTGTGTGGGAGGGAAGGGTGCTGGAGTCTGCCTTAGCTTTGGTCAGGCTACCGGAATAGCTGCCCAGACCGCAGCCGCCTGCTAGTGGCCAGGCTGGCTGGTGGCGCTGAGGACACCAAGAGCTAGTGGGGAGGGCCGGATGGCCCTGCTGCAGAGAATTTCAGGTGAAGGCCAGGACTCAAAGAAGATGGAGAGGCCACAGGCGTCCACCAGATAAGGTACAAATAAGCCACCTGGAGCGGGCTTGACAAGGAAGGGGTTGGGGGCTGGGGATGGGTCCTGTGTGGGGAGGCATTGATGCTCTCTGGCCAGAATCCACAGGCTGAGAGGGTGCAGCCTGGGACAAGCATCTCAGCTGAAGCTTCCAGGTAGCCTGGACCCAGGGCTGGGCAGGGAGGCTACTCCAGACCATGGGCATTTTTGCCAGTAAATGCCTGGCTGACCTCAGTGGCCAGGGCCTTCTTTCCTTGACCCTAGCAGCAACTGACAGTTGCTAGGGGTTTTTTGATTTGTTGAAAAACTAAGCCATACCAACACTAGAGAACATTTTAAACTTCATGTCTTACTTTTAAGAGGAGGAATATTACTTTCCAGAAGTCTCTGTTGGGAAACCCCAGCGTTTCCTAGACATCAACTCTTTGATATTCTTTCTTGCCTTTCTTTTTTGTTTCAAGGAAATAGGGCCGCCAGCAGCACCTTGTTGCCGCCTGGCTCACTTTTATGGTGGCCCGGGAATAAACTTTGGTGGTCAAATTCAAGTGCTCAGGCCAGCAGCTGTCTCCTCACAGGAAGCAGCCCCTACCCCCACCTCAGCCCTGGCTGTGCTGAATCTGCCTTGGGGGACTGGGCCCCACATCACCCTGGAGGGCCAGGAGGGGGAAGGAAGCAGAGCCTTGGGTGGAAGTGGAGAAAGTGGGAGCTGCGACTTGAGCCCTCATCCACACTTCTGCAAGGATAGGGGTACCTCTCGCTTCCCTCTTGCTGGTTCCTATCACTGTTTGGGGAGCGTATTGCCTTCAATAAACTTGAGTTTAATGAGGTCAGTGTGAACCCCAATAAAAGCCACAGTCCATAGTTCCCCACTATTATAATTAAAAATGCTGGCCCCAGCTCACCCTATAAAAAGGGCCAGAGGAAAAAGGAAACAACAGAGAAGACTCACACTTCAGCAAAGCCCCAATCTAGTTATTATTTGCTTCGGTTTAAGATCTGACCAGAACTAAAGAAGCAGCGCCCAGCATTGAGTGGGTAGGGAGGCACCTGAGACCTATCCCTGAGTATTCCAGAACCGCCCTGAGATTAGGACCCATGATGGAGGCAGACTCCACCCAGGTGTCACTCTAAATGCTGAGCAAGTTTGAGGAGGCAGGAGCGCTGAGGAGGAATGGATTTTAGGGTTTACATATGGAGACAAGCTACAATTTTTTGTGTCCTCCCTATCTGGTTTGGGAGCTGCAGCACTGCATCGTGTTTCATCAAGACAAATCCAATCTAATTTCTTTAAGTGGAAACTAATTTTAACTAAGGGTTATGGGTGTAAAGAGAGTTTGGGCTATTTTTTTGTTTTCCCTGAGTGTGCATTGGGCTGAGCCCTTGGGGGCTTCAGTTCTTCCCCTCCTTCCCAAACAAATCGTGCCCTGGCAGCTCCTCTTTGGACCCAAGGTTGCTTTCAGCTCATGCCGGGTGCTTTTGGCCCCTTGGACCCAGTCCAGAACCTCTCAATAAAGTGATTTTCAGATACCCAGATGTGTCCTGTGGTGCTCAAAGGGATGGAAGGCAAGGGGTTGGGGATGCAGAATCACTGAGCCTACTGCTTGGGCTACAGCTACCCAGGAGGCTGACAGACTTGGAGGAGGGCAGGGCAGGACTGAGAAATAGGAAGGAGGCACTAAGATCTGGTCACAGCCCCAGGGACAGAGGCTGGGGGCTTTGACTAGGGAGTGGCCCCTGGGTCTCCCCTGATGCTACAGCATCCACCGCTCCTTTCTGCTGTCTGGCTAGTCTCTTCTGGAGACCCATACCTGGCCCCACTCCCACCTTACAGTCCCCAAAATCATCCAAGGATAAGAACCCCAAACCTAGTCCCCCCACTATATTCTATCTGGACCCCTACACTAGGCTTCTTTTCAGCCCACTAGCTGAGGCTGAGCCACTAAGCCAAAGGGCCCTGACATAGAAGAT